TAAGCTCCTCTGGTACAGAGACTGATGTGACTGGCTCAGTGTTCTCTGTACTGCGCTGCGGTATATGTCAGAGCTATATAAATGTATAATAATAGTGTATGACTGAATAATGGATAAAGCGAGCGCTCAGAAAAACCAGCTGCTGGAACACTTCAAGGTATCACTAAACCTCATAATAGAGACAATATAAACATATAGTGCAGCGCTGAAAGTGTAATAAATGAAATATATAAAATATATATAAAATATAAAGTCTTTCTCGTGACAATAAAGTCAAATATGTGCAGGTCTTCTCCTCATTAGGTGACTGGAAAATAACAAGATTGCGCACTCACCGACCGCACATTTAAAATGCGCCTGTGTATGATATATTCCAAAAGACCAGCCAGGTATACAGCTCCAGAGACCACACGGATCCTCCCTCTCCAACACTCTCATCCGCCTTGGGTGTAGCAATATCTCCAGATCCAAAGGTAGAAAGACAGAGATCCCCCTTTTTGGTTCCAGACACTCCAAGAATGGAAGATGTGTATCTGCACTCTCCAGCAGGAGAGTCAAAGAAAAAAGGGGAACGCCAATAGTGTGGTACTATCAAAAACTTTATTGGAGCAATAATGCCTGGGTCATATGCACACACATATCCATACACCATAAGCCAATAACGGACAGGTAGGTATGAAAGGAAAATAGTACTAACCCGGCAATGGCATAAAAACAAAGACCACCAGACCTCCTCTTGGTCTCAGTGGTCTGGAAGTCACACTTGCTATTTGGCTCCTCCTGAGGCCTTTCGTGCAAAAAGCACTTCTTCAGAGGATGGACGCCACTAGCAGTGTGACAGCCAGACTTCCATTTAAAAGCCGTTCGCGCATGCGCGAAAATCCCGCTCTATCGTGAAAAGCGGTACTGCGCATGCGCGAATAGCGGCCATATTGCCGTGGATCGCGGCTGTACAGTATCAAACTGCGCATGCGCCACCCAATCGCCGCCATATTGCCATGGATCATAGGCAGCAAGGAATAGCTGCTGCTGGAGATTTAACCAATTAAAGGAACAAACAAGCGACCACATATTCAGGTGCTCTCTTATCCTATAGATGAATATAGATGCCTGCCCACCCCGAAGAGAAGCATTAGGAAGGCCCGACCTGGAGTAATTAATCCAAGTGAGATATATATATATATATATACAGGAGAGTGCACAAAATAAGTGCCGCAAGAGCCCTCTCAAAAATCACTAACTCCATGGCATAGGGGCTTATATATCATCATATAAAGATGGAAATGATGATAAACTCTAAAATATTGTGTACATATAAACTATTGGTCCCAAGCAAATATCCTTAAAAATAGATTTCTTGAAAAAGGATATAAAGAACCCGAACTTGATGAGTCTTTGACAAAGGTTGCTGACCTGGATAGGAGAGGGATGCTTTTACATAAACCACATAAGAAAAAAACGAAAAGGTGTGTCCCTTTGTAACAACTTTTTCAATACAATATAAAACAGGTAGGACAACTCATAAGGAAGAATTGGGATATTTTGAGAATGGACCCTGTCCTTTCACAAGTATTACCCAACAAGCCTGAAATTATGTTTAGGAGGGCTCCGGCTATGAGAAACCGCATTGCTCCCAATGTTGTTAATCCCCCTTCAAAAACCTCTTTTTTTGGGGATTTAAAGGGATTCTATCCATGCAACAAATGCATCATATGTAGATGTGACAAATCCCGCAAGAAGAAAATAGATATGTTTACTTCAACATCAACAGGGAAGTCCTACACTATCAAGCAGTGTATAACATGTAATAGCAAGTATGTTGTCTACCTCCTCAGTTGTCCCTGTAATAAGCAGTATGTAGGGCGGACAACTAGACGCCTAAGGGACCGCCTGCGGGAGCATGTAGCCAACATTAGAAAAGGTTACAGGGACCATTCGCTATCTAATCACTTCAGACGGGTCCATAATAGTGATCCTACTTCTTTAAGGTTTGTGGGTATAGAAATGGTATCACCACATTGGAGGGGTCTTCACAAGACCAGAACAGTCTCGCAGGCTGAGACTCGTTGGGTCCACGAATTACGCACCCTTCACCCTCATGGACACAATGTGGAGGTAGACATAAACTGTTTCATTGCCAATAGCTAGGACATGAAGACTTTGTAACGTAGTATAGCGCTGAGTTTTTACCGAATTTTATTTATTTTAGTTCGTTCTAATATGTGGATCTTTATGATTGTTTAATAGCCCCATTCAAGGTATTTGAGTTATGGCTCCGAACTATACAGCTAATATATTGAGATTAGGTGAATATATGTATTAGTCCATAGTATAAGATGTTGTCATCTAGAATTTGACTATTATCAATTAAGCCCCTTTAGAATGTGATCGCTTTACTGAATGATTTTGGGGTGTTTAAAAGTTTTATATGTACACAATATTTTAGAGTTTATCATCATTTCCATCTTTATATGATGATATATAAGCCCCTATGCCATGGAGTTAGTGATTTTTGAGAGGGCTCTTGCGGCACTTATTTTGTGCACTCTCCTGTATATATATATATATATCTCACTTGGATTAATTACTCCAGGTCGGGCCTTCCTAATGCTTCTCTTCGGGGTGGGCAGGCATCTATATTCATCTATAGGATAAGAGAGCACCTGAATATGTGGTCGCTTGTTTGTTCCTTTAATTGGTTAAATCTCCAGCAGCAGCTATTCCTTGCTGCCTATGATCCATGGCAATATGGCGGCGATTGGGTGGCGCATGCGCAGTTTGATACTGTACAGCCGCGATCCACGGCAATATGGCCGCTATTTGCGCATGCGCAGTACCGCTTTTCACGATAGAGCGGGATTTTCGCGCATGCGCGAACGGCTTTTAAATGGAAGTCTGGCTGTCACACTGCTAGTGGCGTCCATCCTCTGAAGAAGTGCTTTTTGCACGAAAGGCCTCAGGAGGAGCCAAATAGCAAGTGTGACTTCCAGACCACTGAGACCAAGAGGAGGTCTGGTGGTCTTTGTTTTTATGCCATTGCCGGGTTAGTACTATTTTCCTTTCATACCTACCTGTCCGTTATTGGCTTATGGTGTATGGATATGTGTGTGCATATGACCCAGGCATTATTGCTCCAATAAAGTTTTTGATAGTACCACACTATTGGCGTTCCCCTTTTTTCTTTGACTCTCCTGCTGGAGAGTGCAGATACACATCTTCCATTCTTGGGGTGTCTGGAACCAAAAAGGGGGATCTCTGTCTTTCTACCTTTGGATCTGGAGATATTGCTACACCCAAGGCGGATGAGAGTGTTGGAGAGGGAGGATCCGTGTGGTCTCTGGAGCTGTATACCTGGCACATTTTTTGTTTATTAAAATCTTGCAAACAAATAACATAATAAAAATCATATTTACATATATACAGAATAAAAATATAAATATGTTAAAAAAAAACCAGCTTACTTCAGCAAAATAACAAATCCTGACCGTCACCTAAACACCCCCTCAGGCTAAGAAACGATACATTGATCCCATACATTGATCCCACACATTCATCCCATACATTGACATTGATCCCATACATTGATCCCATACATTCCCATACATTCATCCCATACATTGATCCCACACATACATTCCCATACATTGATCCCATACATTGCCCAGCCTTTCTTCAAAAATGCATGCAGCCTTTCTTCAAAAATCTGATGTTACAAAATCTAGGGGACGTGAAAGGACAGAAAGAGAAGCCACGCCCCCAGAGACTGACAGACAGCAGCTACGGGGACCTGACATTCCTCCACGCCTTTGTCCAGGCTCCCGGCCGCCACCTGTCCTTCTCAAGACCCCGAATCTTCCCAACCTCACCCAGAATGTTGTTCACCACCACCTCGACAGGAAGGACTTTTTTGCGAATGGAAACCTGACACCGTGCATTCCACGTGTAGTAACGGACTACTAAGCTAACTAGAAAAAGTGTCTCAAAATCAAAATCCCGGTGAGTCTGAAAGGCTCCGTAAGACCACTCCGCGTAACTCAAGCGGGAAAGGAAAGGGATCCCCAGAGCCCCACCCACCCGCTTGTAGACTTCTATATTGAAGGGGCACTGAAGCAAGAAATGGTCCATCGTCTCCTCCACCCCACCGCACTCCACTCTTGGACAACCACGGTTCTCCGCAGAGCGATGCTTTCAGGTTGCCCTTCACATAGAGTCTGCCATGGAACGAGAGCCAGGCCAAATCCCGAAACTTTAAAGGGATTCTCTCCAGATTCATCAAACGCAGACCCTCCCTCATAACCGGGCCTGGGCAATCCCTCAAGGCCAATGGCTCGCTAAAGGCAGATTCAACAACCCTCCTCTCCAGGGCCTTCCTAGGAAGAGATTTAATTTCCTCCGCCGTCACTCGCCATTGCCGAAGCATTTTCAGACACGGGGCAACATAAGCCGGGAGCTTACCATGTTGGACCCTCAGGCTTTTCACTGGCCCACCATTCTCCCAGCTCCGTAGAAAAGGCCTAAACCAGGACTGAAAAATACCAACCCACCCAGGCGGTTCCTCTGCCAGCATGCTACCAAAATTATGTTTCAAAAACATCAGAGAAAAGAAAACCACCGGGTTGACCATACCTAGGCCACCCATCCGCCTGGGAAGGTAGGTTACAGACCTCTTAATGAGGTTCAGTTTGTGCCCCCATAACAGCTGGAAGAAACAACTGTAGATCCTCGCATAGAGAGACACTGGCAAAACACAGACAAAGCTGACATACAGAAATACCGGGATCAGGTAAGTTTTAATCAGGTCAATCCTTTCCCTGTAAGAGAGTTTCCAATCCTTCCAGCTGGCCACCTTGGCATCGGCATCTTGTAGCCTGCTTACCCAATTTGCAAGGCCGTAATCACCGGGACCAAATCTGATGCCTAAAACTTTAATTTCCTGCTGGGGCTCTGGGAAGGCGTCCGGAAGGGTAAAGCCTTCGCCTTCCTCTCCCATCCAGAAAACCTCACTTTCCTGCCTCAGCATACTTTCCATCACCGAGACCCTCCTGATTGATCTTTGAGCCAGATGCCTCAGCATACTGTTCCATCACCGAGACCACCTCCTCCTCCTCCTGCGTCCCGGAGATGAAAACAGACACGTCATCAGCATAGGCCACGACCCTCAGAGGGGGCTCCCCAGGAATGCCCAAAGGAACTCCACACAACGGTCCGCTCTCTAACCTCCGAATGAAGGGATCGATTACAAACGCATATAGCAGAGGACTCAAAGGACACCCCTGACGCACACCTGAGCCAACCTCAAAGGGTCGTCCAATCCAACCATTCACAAGCATGAAGCTTTCAGCCCCTCTGTATAAGGTCTTTAGCCAATCGATAAAGCCCCCCTCCAGGCCATACTTGCCAAGAAGCAGCCATAGGTACTCATGATTGACTCGATCAAAAGCTTTGGCCTGATCCAATGCCAGCAGGAACTTTCCCCAGCCTGCAGCCCTGCACCGCTCCAGGGCCTCCCGGACAGCTAACACCGCTGAAAAAAAGTGCTTCTTCCCTGAACCGAACAGTGCTGATGGCGAGAAAGTAAATTGCCCGCAACAGACGATAAACGCCAGAAAATAATTTTTGCCAATATCTTCCTATCAACATTGAGAAGGCTAATGGGCCGCCAATTCTCAATTCTCGAGGAATCCTTACCCTTTGACAGAAGAATCACTGCAGATTGTCGCATGGAGGGAGAGAGCGAACCCTCTCTCAGACAGCCATTAAACACCTCCACCAAATATGGGGCCAGAGTCACCTTAAAGTGCTTATAAAACTCGGCTGTCAATCCGTCTGGCCCAGGCGACTTCTTCATGGCAAGCTGATCAATAGCTTTCACCACCTCATCTGCCGTGATGTCCTCTGTCAAACTCACAAGAGAACTGCCATTTCCCAGTCCTGGAGTAGAGTCCAGAAAACCCGACATGCTCGCCCGATCGAGGTCCCTCCTACCCAGGAGGTCAGCATAATATGACCTGGAGGTTTCCAGGATCCCTGACTTGGACTTTGTCAGGGAACCCGTACTGTCAACCAGGCCTACAACTGACTTAACTGCTCTACCTTGTTTGCAGTTCTGGTAAGGGTCGGGCGAGTGATATTTCCCATAATCCCTTTCCAGAACCAAAGAGGCATGCCTGTCATATTGACACTGCCTGAGCAAGAGTTTAACCTCAGAGATCGCTTCTGGATCTCCATTATTCGAGACAAGCCGATCGAGCTTCCTCCGCAGACGCTGGTAGGTGACATACTTATCAAGCTGTTTATTCCTTCCTATGGCCTTGAAAAACCCAACGATCCTTCGTTTTGTAAGCTCCCACCACTCGGACTTACTGCTGCAAACGTCCATGATTGATACCTGTGCCTGAAAAAAATCCTCAAAGGATTGACTCACCTTCTCATCGTCCAGGAGTGCCGAATTCAGCTTCCAGGTACCCCTCCCCTTAGGTGGTGTATCGGGGCCACTCAGAGTCACAGACAGAATACAGTGATCGGAAAACTCACCGCCTGACACACTGGTGCCGAGAAGGCGGAGTTCCCCTTTAAAAAAAACCTATCTATTCTACTCTGACTAGAACCTCGCTGAAAAGTGAATCCCGTGTCGTCTGGGCAGCAATGAATGTGCACATCAACCAGACCTGCCTCTCTAGCTATTTTGTTTAAAAAAAACCCGTCACAGTCCAGCCTGACTCCGGTCCCTCTCCTGTCCTTAGTCCTAGTGACGGTGTTAAAGTCACCACCGAAGACAACTTGCTGGGCTGTAAAAAGGAAAGGCTTGATCTTCATGAAGAGGCATTTCCTGTCCCATTTTGTCTGGGGCCCATAGATGTTAATCAGGCGCAGGTCCTGCCCCCCCATGGAGACGTCTAAGACCATGCATCTCCCCATTTCTACCTCAATAATCCGCCGACAGGTTACCATGCCGGAAAAAAGTACCGCAACTCCAGTGTAAGGCTCGGCCGCAAGAGACCAGAAGGAGGGGCCGCGCCTCCACCTTCTTCGCCATATGAACATCCCCCAAACTGGACAACCTGGTCTCCTGCAAAAAGAAAATGTCAGCATCAAACCTGCTGAGCAAAAATAAGGCCATGTTACGAGCGCTTACTGATTTTATGCTGGCGACATTAATGGTCGCCACCTTCAAAGGAGTGGGAACCGCCATCAGGATGATCGAGGTACCCGTTTCTTAGCCTGCTTACCCCCCTCCCTACTTGGAGACCCTACACGCTTCATAGTCCTCTGTGTTTCCTCCTCCATGGAAACCAGAGACTCATCCCCTGAAGATCCCTCATCCTCCACCTCAGATAACACTTCAAATGTGTTTGACACCTCCACCCTCCCAGGGTCAGGTACAGGCACATCCTTCTTCCGCTTCTTCTTCCCAGACTTCCTTTTTGCCTCCAACCACTCCATATCATCATTTGATAAACCGGCCCGCAAAGCCCCCTCCCCTTCCCTTCCACCATCACCAACAACATCATCCACCCCACTCTCTCTCCACTCACCACAGCAGTCCCCCCAACCTTCACCCCAACACCCCCCACCATCATTCACTCCACCCCCCAGCGCCTCACGCGCTCTGACCCTCCGACGCCGGGGAGGGGGGGGGGGTCGGTGCAACCATACACATTGGTCCAGTTCCCTCCACAGCCCCCACTACCTCTGGGGAAACTGACACAGGAGGATCAGACACAACATCCACGGACACTGACTCAGGGGGCACAACACAAGGAGATGACACATTAGAGGGACCATCAGACACTGGGACCACAGGGACAGAGACATTGGGGACCCCTGGCACAGCCTCCCTCTCCTCTGCCTCCTCCATGTCCAGACGAAAAAAACTCTTCCACCAAAGCTGACTGGTTGTGCATGGCCTCAGGGCACCGGTTGTACGAATGGCCAACCTTATCACACAGATTGCACCTGATGATATTACAATCCTTAGCCAGGTGCCCCAGATCCTGACATAGAGAGCACTTCATCTCTGGACATGAGGAGAAGTGACCCCGAGAACCAGATGCCCCAGATCCTGACATAGGGAGCACTTCATCTCTGGACATGAGGAGGCGAAGTGACCCCGAGAACCGCACTTATTGCAGAGCTTGGGCTGTCCAGGGTAGAACACCACAATCCTGTCCTTCCCAATGAAGGCTGAGGAGGGCAGATGCTGGACCACATTCCCACACACATACAACCTCATCTGCACCGACCACCCACCAGTCCATATCCCTCTCTCATCCACAATCTTCTTCAGGGGTGCAAGTAGCTCCCCAAATCTCCTCAGCCAGACAGCCAAGTCAGCCGAAGGAATGGACTCATTCCGTACTAGAATGGTGACCGTCTTCACTAGAGGTTGGCGTGAGACAACCTTTGGGACGAGTCCCCTCCACTCCGGCAGACCCTTATACATGTGTTCATACTTCTCCCAGAATATATCCAGAGACTCGGGGCGCACAAAGGACAGATCATATTCATAGGATCCTACAGGGCTGATGATCAAGGCGAAGATGTCATCCGCCCTAAACCCCATCTCCAAAATCCTGTCCACCACCGACATCCTGACCGGGGGAGCACCCCCACCTTCCCCCATCTGAGCTGCACCAAATTCCTCCTCCTGAAGGACAGGGGTGCAGATGGCAGACCTGCAGCAGACCTCCCCCCAGAGCTGACAACATGATGTGACCCCCTCCTCCCAGCCAGAGCCCCAGCATAGGTCTTATTTGCAGCATTAGATGTAGTGGACCTTAAAGCTGCACCCCGCCCATTGGTTGCAGGAACCTCAGAGCCCCCGCTCTGCAGACCACCATCAGAGGCAGCAGCAGTCACTCCATCCACCAACACACAGGCATTCCCCTTTCCAGCATTGCAAGCACTCTTATCATCCATATGTTTCCTTTCACTCGTGGCACTACTGCTCCCAGCAGACCCACTCACACCAGATGCTCCTGTCTCCCCCCCCCCCCCCAACATACTCCTCTTAGGCAAAAGCCTTCCACTCCTGGTCACTCTCCCCCCTGTTTCAGCAACACCTTTCAGAGTGCTGCTGACAATTTCCCTCCCACCATTTTCTGCTGCATTTGCAGCCATCAGCAGGGATTGTCCAGCAATAGTCTCAGATCCCCCCTTTACCTTCCCCCCAGCAGAGTCCACAGTCACAGGGTTCCTGGTATCAGAGTCCTCAGTCCCAGCAGAGTGCAGTCCTGCAGGCACAGCAGCCATCTTCCCTGCAGAGCTCTGTGCACACACAGGAGGATTTCCCTCCAAAACACTGCAGTGCACATGGCTGTCCACACTGGAGTCCAAAATGGCACTTTTAATAAAGCGCGGCTTTTCTGTTTTTTTTTTTCCTTTACAGGACCAGGTACAGAGTCCTCACCGTCATCTTCATCCTCAGAGTCCTCAGAAAAACGGAAAGTTCTTCCAATTAGGGAAGACTCCAATTCCTCAATGTACTTTAGCAGCCCTCCGCCATATTCCTCTACCTCCTGTGCTGTTCCTCCTCCAGCTTGCTGTGGAGGGAGGGGGGCAGAGGCTGACATTTCCTCCAGGGAAGCAGATCCTGAGGTGGATGGGATAGCAGGGGCAGCATCCAGGACCCCCTCCTCACTCTCCACCCGTACTGCCACCGCCGATGCTGGATCCTTACCGGAGTCTCCCTTCATCTTCCTGAACCTTTCCTCATTCCGGAACTTTTCTCTGAAAGCTCCGCTCTTCTCCTTCAGCGTCTTTACCAGATTCTGCTGCTTCTTAATGGCGACCTCCAAACCCTTCATCTCCGGCTTCATGCTCTGCCTCTTGCTGCTCCATGACTTGGCTCATGCTCTGCCTCTTGCTGCTCCATGACTTGATGGAAACTTTCTTCTTCTTGTAGTCAGTTTTCAGACTCACCAACTTTTCCTCCTCCTTTGCGATTCTCACCAGATAATCAGCAACCCGCTCTCTAAAGACAGGGAGGGATTCCCCACTTTTAGGGCCACAGCCAAGGTCTTCAGGTGCTGGTGAAAGTATGGGAAGGCAAGCTGGGTCCCTCAGGGGGAGCATGGTCTGAGCCTAGCCCAGAAGAGGCCATGTTTCTGGGGCCAGGCGAGCAGGCCTGGCCCCCTAGTGTCTGGAGAGGGAGAGCAACTGCAGCACAACCTCTCTGGTGCAGAGTGTAAGCTCCTCTGGTGCAGAGACTCTCTGGTGTAAGCTCCTCTGGTACAGAGAGTGACTGTGTTAGAGTGTAAGCTCCTCTGGTACAGAGACTGATGTGACTGTGGGGGAGGGGACATTAGAGTGTAAGCTCCTCTGGTACAGAGACTGATGTGACTTTAGAGTGTAAGCTCCTCTGGTACAGAGACTGATGTGACTGGGGGAGGGGGGACATTAGAGTGTAAATTTTTTGTTTATTAAAATCTTGCAAACAAAAAACATCATAAAAATCATATTTACATATATACAGAATAAAAATATATTTTTAAACAAAACCAGCTTACTTCAGCAAAAAAAAAACAAATCAGCTTACTTCAGCAAAATAACAAAATAACAAATCCTGACCGTCACCTAAACACCCCCTCAGGCTAAGAAACGATTAAACATTCACCCCCATACATTGATCCCACACATTCATCCCATACATTCATCCCATACATCGATCCCATGCATGCAGCCTTTCTTCAAAAATCTGATGTTACAAAATCTAGGGGACGTGAAAGGACAGAAAGAGAAGCCACGCCCCCAGAGACTGACAGACAGCAGCTACGGGGACCTGACATTCTCCACGCCTTTGTCCAGGCTCCCGGCCGCCACCTGTCCTTCTCAAGACCCCGAATCTTCCCAACCTCACCCAGAATGTTGTTCACCACCACCTCGACAGGAAGGACTTTTTTGCGAATGGAAACCTGACACCGTGCATTCCACGTGTGGTAACGGACTACTAAGCTAACTAGAAAAAGTGTCTCAAAATCAAAATCCCGGTGAGTCTGAAAGGCTCCGTAAGACCACTCCGCGTAACTCAAGCGGGAAAGGAAAGGGATCCCCAGAGCCCCACCCACCCGCTTGTAGACTTCTATATTGAAGGGGCACTGAAGCAAGAAATGGTCCATCGTCTCCTCCACCCCACCGCACTCCACTCTTGGACAACCACGGTTCTCCGCAGAGCGATGCTTCAGGTTGCCCTTCACATAGAGTCTGCCATGGAACGAGAGCCAGGCCAAATCCCGAAACTTTAAAGGGATTCTCTCCAGATTCATCAAACGCAGACCCTCCCTCATAACCGCCTGGGCAATCCCTCAAGGCCAATGGCTCGCTAAAGGCAGATTCAACAACCCTCCTCTCCAGGGCCTTCCTAGGAAGAGATTTAATTTCCTCCGCCGTCACTCGCCATTGCCGAAGCATTTTCAGACACGGGGCAACATAAGCCGGGAGCTTACCATGTTGGACCCTCAGGCTTTTCACTGGCCCACCATTCTCCCAGCTCCGTAGAAAAGGCCTAAACCAGGACTGAAAAATACCAACCCACCCAGGCGGTTCCTCTGCCAGCATGCTACCAAAATTATGTTTCAAAAACATCAGAGAAAAGAAAACCACCGGGTTGACCATACCTAGGCCACCCATCCGCCTGGGAAGGTAGGTTACAGACCTCTTAATGAGGTTCAGTTTGTGCCCCCATAACAGCTGGAAGAAACAACTGTAGATCCTCGCATAGAGAGACACTGGCAAAACACAGACAAAGCTGACATACAGAAATACCGGGATCAGGTAAGTTTTAATCAGGTCAATCCTTTCCCTGTAAGAGAGTTTCCAATCCTTCCAGCTGGCCACCTTGGCATCGGCATCTTGTAGCCTGCTTACCCAATTTGCAAGGCCGTAATCACCGGGACCAAATCTGATGCCTAAAACTTTAATTTCCTGCTGGGGCTCTGGGAAGGCGTCCGGAAGGGTAAAGCCTTCGCCTTCCTCTCCCATCCAGAAAACCTCACTCTTATCCTGATTGATCTTTGAGCCAGATGCCTCAGCATACTGTTCCATCACCGAGACCACCTGTTCCATCACCGAGACCACCTCCTCTGCCTCCTGCGTCCCGGAGATGAAAACAGACACGTCATCAGCATAGGCCACGACCCTCAGAGGGGGCTCCCCAGGAATGCCCAAAGGAACTCCACACAACGGTCCGCTCTCTAACCTCCGAATGAAGGGATCGATTACAAACGCATATAGCAGAGGACTCAAAGGACACCCCTGACGCACACCTGAGCCAACCTCAAAGGGTCGTCCAATCCAACCATTCACAAGCATGAAGCTTTCAGCCCCTCTGTATAAGGTCTTTAGCCAATCGATAAAGCCCCCCTCCAGGCCATACTTGCCAAGAAGCAGCCATAGGTACTCATGATTGACTCGATCAAAAGCTTTGGCCTGATCCAATGCCAGCAGGAACTTTCCCCAGCCTGCAGCCCTGCACCGCTCCAGGGCCTCCCGGACAGCTAACACCGCTGAAAAAGTGCTTCTTCCCTGAACCGAACAGTGCTGATGGCGAGAAAGTAAATTGCCCGCAACAGACGATAAACGCCAGAAAATAATTTTTGCCAATATCTTCCTATCAACATTGAGAAGGCTAATGGGCCGCCAATTCTCAATTCTCGAGGAATCCTTACCCTTTGACAGAAGAATCACTGCAGATTGTCGCATGGAGGGAGAGAGCGAACCCTCTCTCAGACAGCCATTAAACACCTCCACCAAATATGGGGCCAGAGTCACCTTAAAGTGCTTATAAAACTCGGCTGTCAATCCGTCTGGCCCAGGCGACTTCTTCATGGCAAGCTGATCAATAGCTTTCACCACCTCATCTGCCGTGATGTCCTCTGTCAAACTCACAAGAGAACTGCCATTTCCCAGTCCTGGAGTAGAGTCCAGAAAACCCGACATGCTCGCTCGATCGAGGTCCCTCCTACCCAGGAGGTCAGCATAATATGACCTGGAGGTTTCCAGGATCCCTGACTTGGACTTTGTCAGGGAACCCGTACTGTCAACCAGGCCTACAACTGACTTAACTGCTCTACCTTGTTTGCAGTTCTGGTAAGGGTCGGGCGAGTGATATTTCCCATAATCCCTTTCCAGAACCAAAGAGGCATGCCTGTCATATTGACACTGCCTGAGCAAGAGTTTAACCTCAGAGATCGCTTCTGGATCTCCATTATTCGAGACAAGCCGATCGAGCTTCCTCCGCAGACGCTGGTAGGTGACATACTTATCAAGCTGTTTATTCCTTCCTATGGCCTTGAAAAACCCAACGATCCTTCGTTTTGTAAGCTCCCACCACTCGGACTTACTGCTGCAAACGTCCATGATTGATACCTGTGCCTGAAAAAAATCCTCAAAGGATTGACTCACCTTCTCATCGCCGTATTTCGCAGCATCTGCAGTTGCTCTCCAAAGACCAATCCTCGGTTTATTGTAAGAAAACACCAGATTTCCTTCATTTTCATGGCTTCGGGCGGTCTGGGCTCCAGTCCGAGAACACACTTGTAGGATTTCACCGTCTCGCAGCGAGGAGGTGAGGAGAGGAAAATTGCCGGATCATGGAACAGGAATCATTATAGTCAGAGAACATTCTTAATGCCTCCTTATAGTTGTGATTACAGAGAGCCCCCCGGGGAACGGGCCGGACCTATCTGCTCTGATTATCTCCATAATGCACTAATTCTCTATGAGCCAAGAATAGATGGAAATCAGGAGGGGGTTTTCTGGAAGGATTTTATACATTAAGGGGCTGATTTTGAATATTCGTCACCCCACACTGTGTTGGCTCCAACTACCCAATAAACGTCACTGCTTAGGGTTCGCATAGTCCTTTACTAAATGAGGCAAAACACGTATTAGTGTAGCACCCCCTTACTTATTGATGGGTATTAGGGACCCACAAGTGGCTCAGTGGACCTAGCATTTCAACTCAGGGCTGGATATGTAAAACGATGGGCGCCAATGACTTTTAAAGTGATTCTGGATTTCTTTTTTAATTTTTTAAAAATAAAGGAGTGAAGGGGAGGGCTCCAAGTACATAATCAAGCTGACCTTCAGGCACAGGGTACAACTGTGTCAGCTCGCACTATACGCCGCCATCTGAATGAAAAGGGACGCAATGGTAGGAGACCCAGGAGCACTGTAGCTAACCTCCCTGGACTTGGACGAAAGAGAAAAATTGATCAAAGATTGAATGATTGTTGGAATGGTGGCTAAAGAACCTCCACCAACTTCCAGACAAATTCAAGCCGACCTTCAGGCACAGGGTACAACGGTGTCAGCTCTCATTATACGTCGCCATCTGAATGAAAAGGAACTCTATGGTAGGAGGCCCAGGAGCACTGTAGCTAATCTCCCTGGACGTGGACGAAAGAGAGAAATTGATCAGAGATTGCAATGAAGGATTGTTGGAATGGTGGTTGAAGAACCTCCATCAACTTCCAGACAAATTCAATCCAACCTTCAGGCACAGGGTACACCTGTGTCAGCTCGTACTATATGTCGCCATCTGAATGAAAAGGGACGCTATGGTAGGAGACCCAGGAGGACCCCACAGCTGACACAGAAATATGGGAGGAGACCCAGGAGGACCCCACTGCTGACACAGAAATATGGGAGAAGACCCAAGTGGACCCCACTGCTGACACAGAAATATGGTAGGAGACCCAGGAGGAGCCCACTGCTGACACAGAAATATGGGAGGAGACCCAGGAGGACCCCACTGCTGACACAGAAATATGGGAGGAGACCCAGGAGGACCCCACTGCTGACACAGAAATATGGTGGGAGACCCAGGAGGACCCCACTGCTGACACAGAAATATGGTAGGAGACCCAGGAGGACCTCACTGCTGACACAGAAATATGGGAGGAGACCCAGGAGGACCCCACCGCTGACACAGAAATATGGGAGGAGACCCAGGAGGACCCCACTGCTGACACAGAAATATGGTAGGAGACCCAGGAGGACCTCACTGCTGACACAGAAATATGGGAGGAGACCCAGGAGGACCCCACCGCTGACACAGAAATATGGGAGGAGACCCAGGAGGACCCCACTGCTGACACAGAAATATGGTAGGAGACCCAGGAGCACTGTAGTTAATCTCCCTGGACGTGGACAAAAGAGAAAACTTGATCATAGATTGCAACAAAGGATTGTTGGAATGGTGGATAAAGAACCTCCATCAACTTCCAGACCAATTCAAGCTGACAATCAGGCACAGGGTACACCTGTGTCCACTCGTACTATACGTCGCCATCTGAATGAAAAGGGACGCTATGGTAGGAGGCCCAGGAACACTGTAGCTAATCTCCCTGGACGTGGATGAAAGAGAGAAATTGATCAGATATTGCAACAAAGGATTGTTGGAATGGTGGTTGAAGAACCTCCATCAACTTCCAGACAAATTCAAGCCGACCTTCAGGCACAGGGTACACCTGTGTCAGCTTGTACTATACGTCACCATCTGAATGAAAAGGGACGCTATGGTAGGAGACCCAGGAGGACCCCACTGCTGACACAGAAATATGGGAGGAGACCCAGGAGGACCCCACTGCTGACACAGAAATATGGGAGGAGACCCAGGAGGACCCCACTGCTGACAGAGAAATATGGTGAGAGACCCAGGAGGACCCCACTGTTGACACAGCAATATGGGAGGAGACCCAGGAGCACTGTAGCTAATCTCCCTGGACGTGGACAAAAGAGAAAATTGATCATAGATTGCAACAAAGGATTGTTGGAATGGTGGATAAAGAACCTCCATCAACTTCCAGACAAATTCAAGCCGACCTTCAGGCACAGGGTACAATGTCAGCTCGCACAATAAACGTCGCCATTTGAATGAAAAGGGACGCTATGGTAGGAGACCCAGGAGGACCCCACTGCTGACACAGAAATATGGGAGGAGACCCAGGAAGACCCCACTGCTGACACAGAAACATAAAAAAGCCAGATTGGAGTTTGCCAAAACTTACCTGAGGAAGCCAAATCCCTTTTGGGAGAATGTGCTGTGGACATAATATGACAGCTTTTTGATAAAAAGCCCATCATTCTACTGTTTTCAGAAAAAGCAATGAGGCCTTGAAAAGAATACAGTCCCTACAGTCACACATGGTGGGGGGGTCACTGATGTTTTGGGGTTGATTTGCTGCTTCAGGCACTGGATGGCTTGACTGTGTGCATGGCATTATGAAATTTGAAGACCACCAAAGAATTCTGGGGGGCAATGTAGGGCCCCGTGTCAGAAAGTTGGGTCTCCAATGTCAGAGGTCATGGATCTTTCAGGAGGACAATGACCATAAGCACACGTCAGAAAGTTGGATCTCCAATGTCAGAGGTCTTCCAGCAGGACAATGACCAGAAGCACACATCAGAAATTGGGTCTCCAATGTCAGAGGTCATGGGTCTTCCAGCAGGACAAGATAAAGGGAGGCAGTACAGCAATGTTACAGCTCAATACAAGAGGGTAAGGTGGGCCTGATCCTGGGAGCTTACAATCTTCTATGGAGTACCCTTTAAGAGTATCTAAAGTCAACATGATGCTGAGCAGTTGGCTATGATCTATTTTGGATGCAGAGTTCTCCCTGTCAGGTTCCAGCTTTTGCACAGCTTTCTGAGTATTGGTTAAAAGACAGTATGAAGTGCTTATATGTTAATGTTGGGTTTTTTGTATAACAGGTTCACTGGCTAGACATTACTTGGCAAAGGGGTGTTATTAGAGCAATGCCCATGGAATGTGCTGCTGAGCAGTCTGCAGAGAGACAGAGGGGTCAATTTACTAAAGGCAAATAGGCTAAGCACTTTGCAAAGTGCTGATGCTCCAGAGCTTATTAAATGAGGCTTCTCTTTGCAAAGAACACCCAATCAGGTGCAAGGAACATTAAAAAAAATCCCCCAGCAATTTTGCTTGCCCATGATTGGATGATGAAAGTCAGCAGAGCTTTTGCTCATTTACTAAGATCTGGAGCAACAGCACTTTGCAAAGTGCCCAGTCTATTTGCCTTTAGCAAATCAACGCCTGTTAGTTTCCTAATATAGGGGTTGATTTACTAAAGGCAAATAGACTGGGCACTTTGCAAAGTGCTGTTGCTCCAGAGCTTAATAAATGAGGTAAAGCTTCACTTTGCAAAGATTACCCAATCACGTGCAAGGAAAATTAAAAAAAAAAACCTGCATTTTGCTTGCACGTGATTGGATGATGGAAGTCAGCAGAGTTTCTGCTCGTTTACTAAGCTCTGGAGCAACTGCCCTTTGCAAAGTGCTTAGTCTATTTGCCTTTAGTAAGTCAACCCCATATGTATTTCAGAGTATGGGGTTGATTTACCAAGACTTTTGTACAAGGGGCTGACAACGATGCTACTAATTGCAAGGCATTGGCTTAGGGGTTGTCAGCCGGCCATGCAAGCTCCTTTTGTTGGCTGTTGCTGGTTTTTTGGTCTATCAGATAGTCAGCCCAATGGCCACCGGCAGGCGCTCATACAACAGGCTGACAACGATGCTACTAATTGCAGGGCAGTGGCTTAGGGGTTGTCAGCCAGCCTTGCAGGTTCCTTTAGTTGGCTGTTGCTGCCTTTCAGGTCTATCAGGGAGTCAGTCCAATGGCCATCGGAAGACTCTCATACAACGGGCTGACAATAATGCTACTAATTGCAAGGCATCAGCTTAGGGGTTGTCAGCCAGCCATGCAAGCTCCTTTTGTTGGCTGTTGCTGCTTTTTTGGTCTATCAGGGAGTCAGTCCAATGGCCACCGCAAGGCGCTCATACAACGGGCTGACAGCGCTGCTGCTAATTTGCATATAAAAAAAAATGGCACAGCCCCAATGAAAATTGTAATGCGATTATTTCCTCTGATTGTGAACACCATCTATTGGCTGTAATGTGGTATTCTTCCTGACCAAGGTATTCCAGAACAAATACCTCCTTATGGCCACTAGGTGGTGCTTGCAATCATAGGAAATAATCACATTACACAAAATATGCCTAATTTTTGTTTGTCGCAATTGTACAGCAAAGTTTATACACGGACCCCCTAAGAGTTGTCGGGCTGTAGGTTGTCGTAGGCACCCCTGAGGGAAGGCACGGCACAGTGGTTGATACTGCAGAACTCGTAGAGGACTATGCACAGAGACCGGCAGCACCTGGCGCAGAGGCGGTAGCCGCATGTCAGCGGCAGGGAGGACTGGTCCCCTTTAGAAGCACTGCCGACAGTCCTTACACTGTCCCTCCTCCTCTGGAACCTCTCCCTACACTAGGCACACTCACCGTATCAAGCGGGTTCCTGTCCCTAACCCAGCCACACAGAATGCATGCCAAAAGCATTGGGACAGTCCTTTTTTTTATAAGCACTGCCCTCACTAAAGATGGCCGCAGGGGCCACCAGGTGGCACTGTCCAATCAGACAGCAGTCTACCTGATGACAGGTACGAAGGTCTAAAATGCCCGTATCTAGGGGGTGCTGGGGTGGGCTATGCCCCCCCAAAATTTTTAGTTGTCCCCCCAAAGCCAACTGCCCTCCCCTCCACCCTGAACACTCTGCCTGATTGCTGAACCATATTGCAGACAACTGCCCTCAACATGCAGCTCAGCAGGATGGAGAAGGCTACCTTCACCATTCCCCTGTGCTCCCCTGCAGGAGGAGCTCTGCTGCCTGTGCCTAGGTTGTGTGCTGTACAGGGATGGGAGGAGCTCTGTTGAGTGCCCTGCCAGCAATGTCCCCTCTCCTTTGCCCTACCAGCAGTGTCCCCTGTCCTCTGCCCTGCCAGCAGTGTCCCCTGTCCTCTGCCCTGCCAGCAGTGTCCCCTGTCCTCTGCCCCACCAGCAGTGTCCCCTGTCCTCTGCCCCGCCAGCAGTGTCCCCTGTCCTCTGCCCTGCCAGCAGTGTGTCCCTGTCCTCTGCCCTGCCAGCAGTGTCCCCTGTCCTCTGCCCCGCCAGCAGTGTCCCCTGTCCTCTGCCCCGCCAGCAGTGTCCCCTGTCTCCTGCCCTGCCAGCAGTGTCCCCTGTCCTCTGCCCCGCCAGCAGTGTCCCCTGTCTCCTGCCCTGCCAGCAGTGTCCCCTGTCCCCAGCTCTGTTGTCTCCTGTACACTGCCCTACATGATGCCGACCCTATCTTTTGCCCTGCTGACCCCTTGTACACTGCCCTGCTGATCTCCCATCCTCTGCCCCCCTGACTTTTTTTTTACTGCACCCCCACATCAGACAGGCTAGATCCGGCCCTGAGGTCTAAAAGGATTGGGCATTCCTCCTGTCCTCCATTGCAACAGTCCCACCTGTACCTGTATAGGGAGGTCAACCTACACATGCCTACAAGCCCCCAACAGGAAGTGTTGTTACTGGCGGGATCTTCAGGTGAGAAACTTCGCAACAAATTCACAAAAATATGGTTTTCTCAAGAAAACTGTAGAGCAGGAGGCCGGATACACGAACAAAGCAAAAGATGGATTTATTCCCACCTCATGAATCTGATGAGCTTGTCTCGGGCTGCTCAGCATCGGAACGCGCCTTTAGAACAATGGTTTCCCATCAGGCGCACAGCCGGTGCCAGCGCGCTCTTTGTATCACATGTGTATCAGGCACGTCGTTAATGTATTTCCCCATTCATGTCAGCTGCACCTCCCTTGTTATTACAAGCAGTGCCTGGCTCCCCGGCCCCGTGGGGACACGCCTGGATTTTGTCAGCCTTACCGGCTCTGCTTTGCCTCTTCCCTTTCATGTTCGCCGTTTCCCTTTCTGTTATCAGTTTTTTTTATATACTACTGTACTCGCCGCATCGCCTGGATCTCCATTTGTGAAATTGTTTTCTTTCTCTTATGCCTTTTCCTCTCCTGCATAGATTTACATGTGGGCTGCAGACGCTGGAAGACGCCCCCTCCGAAAGTATCCCAATATTTTATCCATTTCTAGGGAATAATGTTACATACAGGCGTACCTCGGTTTACGAATTCAATGCGTTCTGCGGGACTTTTCGCATTGCGAAAAATTTGCAAACTGAAACACGGTTCTGGAGGATAGAAAAAAAAGTTAACAAAAAAGTCTTTTATCTGTTCAAAACTCTTTATAAAATGCACTTTAAAGGCATAAATACTGTACAGGGACATGATTAAAAATTAATTTGTAAAGGTATTAAAAACCAATTAATCCGTTCCGGAGGTCAGAAAATTAAAACAAAAAAGTCTTATCTGTTCAAAACTCTTTAGTATTATTATACAGGATTTATATTATTATTATTATTATTATACAGGATTTATATTATTATTATTATTATTATTATACAGGATTTATATTATTATTATTATACAGGATTTATATATTATTATTATTATACAGGATTTATATTATTATTATTATACAGGATATATATTATTATTATTATTATTATAATACAGGATTTATATTATTATTATTATACAGGATTTATATTATTATTATTATACAGAATTTATATATTATTATTATACAGGATTTATTATTATTATTATAATACAGGATTTATATTATTATTATTATTATACAGGATTTATATTATTATTATTATTATTATTATACAGGATTTATATTATTATTATTATACAGGATTTATATTATTATTATTATACAGGATTTATTATTATTTTGCAGGATTTATATATTATTATTATACAGGATTTATGGCGCCAACAGTTTGCACAGCGCTTTACAATATAAGGGAGACAATACAATTACAATACATTTCAGTACAGAAGGAATAAGAGGCTCATGGAGCTTACAATCTTTATAAAGTGCACTTTAAAGGCATAAATACTGTACAGGGACATGATTAAAAAAAGATCCATAAATGCATTGAAAACCAATTAATCCATTTCGGAGGTCAGAAAAAAAAAAAAAAAAAAAAAAAAAGTCTTTTATCTGTTCAAAACTCTTTATAAGGTGCACTTTAAAGGCATAAATACTGTACAGGAACATGATTAAAAATTAATTTGTAAAGGTATTAAAAACCAATTAATCCGTTCCGGAGGTCAGAAAATTAAAACAAAAAAGTATTTTATCTGTTCAAAACTCTTTATAAAGTGTACTTTAACCACTTGCATCACTAGCCTACCCCCCTTCCTGCCCAGGCCAATTTTCAGCTTTCAGCGCTGTCACACTTTGAATGACAATTGTGCGGTCATGCAACACTGTACTCATATGAAATTTTTTTTGAGACAGATAGAGCTTTCTTTTGCTGGTATTTAATCACCTCGGGGTTTTTTTTTATTTTTTGCTAAACAAACCAAAAACAACTGAAAATTTTGAAAAGAAAAGTTTTCTTAGTTTCTGTTATACAATTTTGTAAATAAGTGATTTTTCTCCTTCACTGATGTGCACTAATGAGGCTGCAGTGATGGGCACTGATAGGCTGCACTGATGGGCACTGATAGGTGTCACTGATGGGCACTGATGAGGAGGCACTGGTAGGTGGCACTGATGGGTATTGACAGGCATCACTGATGGGCACTGAAAGGCAGCACTCATATGCGGCACTGATAGGTGGCACTGGCTGGCAATGTTAGGTGGCACTGATAGGCACTGATGAGGAGGTACTGGTAGGTGGCACTGATGGGCATTGACAGGCATCACTGATGGGCACTGAAAGGCAGCATTCATATGTGGCACTGGCTGGCAATGTTAGGTGGCACTGATGAAGAGGCACTGGTAGGTGGCACTGATGGGCATTGACAGGCATCACTGATGGGCACTGAAAGGCAGCACTCATTTGCGGCACTGATAGGTGGCACTGACTGGCAATGTTAGGTGGCACTGATGAGGAGGCACTGGTAGGTGGCACTGATGGGCATTGACAGGCATCACTGATGGGCATTGAAAGGCAGCACTCATATGCGGCACTGACTGGCACTGATAGGCGACACTGGCTGGCAATGTTAGGTGGCACTGACTGGCAGAGGCATAGCTACGGGGGGGGTACCCGGGTGCCAAGGTACAGGGGCGCCAAAATGAGGTCACAAGATCACTGCAGTGGCTGCAGCAGACGTGTCATCCGATACATCTGCCATCCACAGTGAGTTATGAGAGGAGAGAGGAGCTGGCCGGGAGAGGAGGGCAGTGAGCCGGGCATGTGCCGGAGGGGACGAGGGGAGAGCCGAGCCGAGAGAGTAGTGCCATGGATGAAGGGGGGGCAATGTGATCGGGACAGGGGGGGGTGTCTACAGGGACCATATGAAGCGGGCGGGGGGGGGGGGGGGTGTCATGAGGTGGCCGTTCATCCCCGGGTGCAAAATATTCTAGGTACACCTCTGCTGACTGGCACTGTTAGGCGGCACTGACAGGCACTGATAGGCGGCACTGACTGGCACTGCAATCACCATTACGCTTCGACCTCAGAGTCACATTATACTCTTGTGTATTATTGTTGTTTTTTTCACTTTAATATAGCACCATCATAGAGCGCTTCGCTGATTGCATTATACATTGCTGTTTGTTCACTCAAGTCACTCCTTATTTATTCCCATTCAGTATAACGCAAAAGCGTTTTCTGTGCCACCATTTCATTGTTTGATATATATTTTTTTAGTGCTGCACTTTTTTTGACTTAGTACAGTGTCAGTGCTTTTTATTAGCACTGATCACTGTATTAGTGTCACTGGGGATGACAGTGGCAGTTAGTCAGTTCCCCTGCAGTGTCGGAATGCCCGCCGCAGTCCCGCTATAAGTCGCTGATCGCCGCCATTACTAGTAAAAAAAAAAAAAAAAAAATCCAGTATCCATACCGCCATTTGTAGACTCTATAACCTTCACGTAAACCAATTATTTACACATATTGGGATTTTCTTTTCAGCAAAAAGACACGGAGCAGAATACATTTTAGCCTAAATTTATGCCGAAATTTGATTTTTACAATTTTTTTACTGGATGTTTTCTAGCAAAAAGTCAAAAATATTGTATTTTGTTTTTTAAATTGTCGGTTTTTTTAGTTTATAACGCAAAAAATAAAAGACGCAGAGGGGATCAAATACCACCAAGAGAAAGTTCCATTTGTAGGAAAAAAAGGATATACAGTTGCAAGAAAAAGTATGTGAACCCCTTGGGATTACGTGGAATTTTGCATGAATTGGGCATAAAATGTGCTCTGAACGTCATCTAAGTCACAACAATAGAAGAACACCGTCTGCTGAACATAATACTACACAAACATTAGATGTGGCCATGGTTTAATTGCACATAACATGTAAACAATCACAGTGCAGGGAGGAAAAAGTATGTGAACCTTTGGACTTAATAACTGGTTAACCCTCCTTTGGCAGCAATAACCTCAACCAAACGTTTCCTGTAGTTGCAGATCACACCTGCACAACAATCTGGAGTCATTTTGGACCACTCCTCTTCACAAAACTGTTTCAGTGTAGCAATATTCTTGGGATGTCTGGTGTGAATCGCTCTCTTAAGGTCATGCCACAGCATTTCAATGGGGTTGAGGTCAGGACTCTGACTGGGCCACTCCAGAAGGCGTATTCTGTGCTGTTGCCGCCATTGTTTTGTTGAATTACTTGTATACTTTGGGTCATTGTCCTGTTGCATCACCCATCCTCTGCGGAGCTTCAGTTGGCGGACAGATGGTCATACGTTTTCCTGCAAAATGTCGTGATAAACTCTGGAATTCATTTTCCCATCAAAGACAACAATCCGTCCAGGCCCTGAGGCAGCAAAGCGGCCCCAAACCATGATGCTCCCTCCGCCATGTTTTACAGTGGGGATGAGGTTTTGATGTTGGTGTGCTGTGCCTTTTTTTCTCCACACATAGTGTTGTGTGTTCTTCCCAAACAACTCAATCTTGGTTTCATCTGTCCACAGTATATTTTGCCAGTAGTGCTGTGGAACATCCAGGTGCTCTTTTGCAAACTTCAAATGTGCTGCAATATTCTTTTTGGACAGCAATGGCTTCCTCCGTGGTGTCCTCCCATGTACTCCATTCCTGTTTGATGTTTTCCTTATTGTAGATGTGTCAACAAAAATGTTAGCATGTGCCAGAGATTTCTGTAGGTCTTTAGCTGACACTCTGGGATTCTTCTTTACCTCATGCAGCATTCTGCGCTGTGCTCTTGCAGTCATTTTTACATGACGACCACGCCTAGGGAGAGTAGCAACAGTGTTAAACTTTCTCCATTTGTAGACAGTCTGTCTTACCGTGGACACATGAACATCAAGGCTTTTGGAGATACTTTTGTAACCCTTTCCAGCTTCATGCAAGTCAACAATTCTTGATCGTAGGTCTTCTGAGAGCTCTTTTCTGCGAGGCATGGTTCACATCAGACAGTGCTTCTTGAAACCAGTAAACCCAAAACAGGTGTGTGTTTTTTAAGGGCAGGACAGCTGTCAGCAACACATCCAATATCATCACACTGATTGGAGTCAAGGTTAGCTCACTCCTGGCTCCAATTAGCTCTGGGAGAAATCATTAAGCTAGGGCCTCACATACTTTTTCCTCCCTGCACTGTGAATGTTTACATGTTATGTGCAATTAAACCATGGCAACATCTAATGTTTGTGTAGTATTATGTTCAGCAGACAGTGTTCTTCTATTGTTGTGACTTAGATGACGTTCAGAGCACATTTTATGCCCAATTCATGCAAAACTCCACGTAATCCCAAGGGGTTCACATACTTTTTCTTGCAACTGTACATTTCATTTGGGTGCAGTGTTGCATGACTGCGCAATTGTCAGTTAAAGAAATGCAATGCTGTATTGCAAAAAAAAATGGCCTGGTGAGGAAGGCCCCCCCCCCCACTTATCCCCCCCCCCTGGTAAGTGATTAAAGAAAAAAATCATTAAAATAGTCATGGACTACATAGCAACCAGTGGGACAATGGGAGACAAGGAACACTTTGGTAGGAAGCATTGGTTCCACTAACTTGCCTGACAGAAGTGGACTAGCGTGGGTACCCCAAGGAGGGAATTGCCCTGCATCACAGGGTTCCTGGGGTCCCTTATCCCCTTTGTGGCAGCTGGCATGCCCTTGATTTGGGGGGGGAGGGGGGGTGGCGTGAGTTGTGAGAAGATGTACATCTTTGATTTTTGCAAAAATATATACATTTATTATTTTTTGCAAAAGGTGGACTGGTAGGTGTTTGCTTCTTTCACTGTCCTCCTTCAATAAAAGCACGCCATTTTCTGCATAAAAATCCTTGAACTGCATGCTTGCACTAGGTGAAAAGGCACTGAAGCCTATGGATCAACATATGAGCAGGCAACTACAATTACGTAAATGTAGACAGCAAGTGGAAGCCCTGGACAGGGCTGAAGTCTGGGGAGAGGTAGACCTGCCCTCAGGAGGAGCCATCTGTAGATCGCCTTCATCTAGCTATCTTCACCTGCCTACAAAGTGCCTTCAGGATGTTCAATAGTTCTGTAGACATTCCTGATACATCTTCTTGGCCTTCATCTATGTGCCTTCTCTGAGTTGCTGAGGGAAGTGACGTGACTTATCTTCTCTGTCCAGGTGGCTCTGTTCCAGAAAAGTGTCTGGCTACAGAAGACGTGTCATCAGGTGCTAGGTCCCTTTTCGTTATAGTCATCCTGTAGTGATGTCATGGGTGAGTCAGTCCCCAGTTATAACCAGGCTGGGAGCAGCCCTAGAGCAGTTGGGCCATGGAAGCCAAACACCCCATGCCTACATAAATGTAGACAGCATGTGGAAGCCCTGGACAGGGCTGAAGTCTGGGGAGAGGTAGACCTGCCCTCAGGAGGAGCCATCTGTAGACTTCCTTCACCTAGCTATCTACGCCTGCCTACAAAGTGCCTTCAGGATGTTCAGTAGTTCTGTAGACATTCCTGATACTGTACATCTTCTTCACCTTCATCTATGTGGCTTCTCTGAGTTGCTGAGGGAAGTGACGTGACTTATCTTCTCTGTCCAGGTGGTTCTGTTCCAGAATAGTGTCTGGCTACAGAAGACGTGTCATCAGATTCTAGGTCCCTTTTAGTTATAGCCGTCCTGTAGTGATGTCATGGGTGAGTCAGTTCCCAGTCATAACCAAGCTGGGAGGAGTCCTAGTGCAGTTGGGGCATGGGAGCCAAACACCCCACACCTACGGAAATGTAAACAGCAGGTGGAAGCCCTGGACAGGGCTGAAGTCTGGGGAGAGGTAGACCTGCCCTCAGGAGGAGCCATCTGTATATTGCCTTCACCTAGCTATCTACACCTGCCTACAAAGTACCTTCAGGATGTTCAGTAGTTCTGTAGATATTCCTGATACATCTTCTTGGCCTTCATCTATGTGGCCTCTCCGAGTTGCTGGGGGAAGTGACGTGACTTATCTTCTCTGTCCAGGTGGCTCTGTTCCAGAATAGTGTTTGGCTACAGAAGACGTGTCATCAGGTGCTAGGTCCCTTTTAGTTATAGCCATCATGCAGTGATTTCAAGTGGAAGCCCTGGACAGGGCTGAAGTCTGGGGAGAAGTAGACCTGCCCTCAGGAGGAGCCATCTGTAGACTTCCTTCACCTAGCTATCTTCACCTGCCTACAAAGTGCCTTCAGGATGTTAAGTAGTTCTGTAGAAATTTCCTGATACATCTTCTTGGCCTTCATCTATGCTAGTTTCCTGCCAACCTCTGACCTCCACCTGGAACAGTATTGGAGCTGTAGAAGTTGCAGTGGATTCACAGCTCTTGAACTGCATACTTGCAAAATGCACTGAAGCCTATGGATCAACATATCAGACAGGCAACTACAGCTCTTAGAAGAGTTCAGCACTGGTAGACCGCATACACTTACCGGCCTCTTTATTAGGTCCACCTGTTCAATTGCTTGGTAACACAAATTGCTAATCAGCCAATCACATGGCAGCAACTTATTTATTTAATTTATTTCAGATATTTATTTAGCGCCATCAATTTATGCATCAATTTATACATATATATTGTACATTCACACCAGTCCCTAACCCTCAAGGGGTGTACCATCTAAGGTCCCTAACCCTCAAGGGGTGTACAATCTAAGATCCCTAACTTACATCCATACATACATATACTAGGGACAATTGAGACAGGATCCAATTAACCTCCCAGCATGTCTTTGGAGTGTGGGAGGAAAACTGGAGTACCCAGAGGGAACCCACACAGGCACAAGGAGAACATGCAAACACTAGGGGGGGGAAGCACCACTAACGATCAATACCTTGGGATGGGATGACACTGACCATCAATGCAGGTGGGGAGGTGGGGGGAATACCACTGATCACCAATGCCTTTAACTCTAGGTTCACACCTAAGTGGTTTCTGCAGCGTTTTGCAGAAACGCAGTGCAGTCCATTTAACATGACTTCCTATGGGACACGTTCACATCTTCGTGTTTTCACCCGC